GCTAAAAGCCAATTTTGATAGGCCTCAGGCCAATGTAATTAATGAAGTGATAGTAAAATCAGATCTAATCGATCTAAAAGCCGTAAATCTACTTTCACTAATTATTGTTGTTATACTGATAGGAAAAGTTGTTTTCAAATTTATAGGGAAGTACAGAGATTCCGTTAAAAGGAAGTATATGAAACGTGCAGTTTCAACAGATAATATTCAAAATGATTAATTCTAGTTTAGTATTTTTTTTTGCTGCACTAAATTAGTTTTGATTAAAAACTTATCACTGGATTAATATGTAAAACATATGGGATACTTTTACTGTAATTTTTGAGTTTTCAATCTGGCGTCCTATAAGAAAATTTAATATGCATGTGAATTTTAGCTTATAATAGCTATGTTATAGATTTATCTGTAAAATTTAAAGAGTTTAATATAACTTATGCACTCACAGTGTTAAGATTTCCGTAAATTTAATTTACAATAAAAAAAATATTGTTTGATGGAATGGCAAACAATATTGAATAAAATACGCTTCCTAAAAGAAACGTTTAATAAGTCAATAAATGTATTGCAATAGATAGACCTATTAGTGCTGCAACACTACACAAACACTGTACGTTGTTAATACAAAGTTTGGAAAACATTCGAGTACTTTTAAACGTACACTTTGATAGGCTCACAACTGCACACAAAGCAGAAGCCAGGAAAATATACAATGCTTTATCATTGCCAGCCAGGTCTCAATTGATACGGAGTGTCAAAATAGAACCTACGTCAGAAGACATATTAGTCCCAAATCAAGAATTAACCAAAGAAATATTTATTGCCAATATCATTATCAATACATTAATTCCATTTGTTAGAATAATAAATATTATAAATAAAAATGTTGTTATTGAGAATCATCAAATCAAAACACAAAGTTTATACGATTACGAATGCATAGCATCTAAAAAGAAGAAAAATTGGAAAAATTATCAAAAAATTTTCCACACTTTGTTAAAGACAAACTAAATACCCTATGTAAAAAATATATAGATATTTTTGGATTAGGTTGGGTTATACCGGTGATCCGCAGTGGATCCACTTAGGCCTATTGGCCCATTGTGATGCAGTATATAAATAATGAAAACCTCAGGGTTTAAAACCACCTAGAACCTTTTGCAAACCATAAAATGCTATTTAAAGTCAGATCCTGTAACTGGTCAGGTCCTCAAGGAAGGGAGCTCCTAAAGTACTAAGTCGCCGACGTGCATGAGCTGGGCAAAAACACAAAAGATGAGTTTTACTCTCATCGTCCTCCTCACAGCTACGACAGAATTGATTGAAAGGAAGATGTTTAGAGATGTGTAGCAGTCAAGAACCGTCCTAGATATAAATTGGACTGAACTCAAGGACTTTAACGCAGCTTGACTGTCTGATAGTATGTATATATTCCTGTCAAATATATCATCTACATTCAAACAAGCTATAGCTTCCCTGATGGCGACCACTTCCGCCTGAAAGACACTACAATGATCTGGAAGCCTGAAGTAGGAAGATTTATTCAATTCCTCTGAGAAAACTCCACTACTTACACCACTACTTGTTTTGGATTCGTCAGTGAAGATGGTTACGCCCTCATCTAAGAAGGGGCCACCTGACGTCCATACCTCTCTAGATGGAAACACGACATTAAATTTTCTGTCAAAGTTGAGAGTGGGTGTGATGTGATCAACGTTTTTAGGAGTAAAATTTAAGATATTTAGAATAGAGACATGACCATAGTCACTGGCTCTCCATTGTGAGGTAGCTTTTAGTCTTAAAGCAGATGAAGCTGCCATTTGTTTACTAATAATATCCATTGGCAGTAACTGAAGCATCAAGTCTAGTGCAATAGATGGTGTGGTGCATAGCGCTCCGCTAATACAGAGTTCAGCTCTACGCTGAATCCTGTTAAGTACCGAACAGTACGAAGATTTATCAAGAGCTGTCCACCATACCGTAATACCATACAGCAATATGGGCCTAATAACAGCTATATATAGCCATTGGGTGATGCGAGGTTGAAGACCCCACTTCTTACCAATAGCCTCCTGACATAGAAGAAGTGCAATATTGGCTTTTCTTGCGCGCTCTAGAGTGTTTTTCTTCCGAGTGAGTTTCCTCTCGAAAACTATACCTAAACATTTGGCTTCCTCCTTCACATGTATCACAGAACCTCGTAGAGAGGATGGAGAAAGATTTGGGACCGTATGTTTTCTTGTGAAAACTACGATTTCAGTTTTATTGGGATTCACCCCAAGGCCACATTTTTGTGTCCATTTGTTTAGGATTGTTAAGACCATTTTGTGGAATATCCCTAAGAACGGTAGTATATTTTTCGGTGACTGTTATCGCAATATCATCCGCATATGCAATAGTTTCGCAGCCCTCTGCCTTCAGTTTTATTAGCAGTTCATTCACCGCTATGTTCCAGAGGAGAGGGGAGAGTGCTCCTCCTTGGGGGGTACCTCTATTCACCCTTCTGCGTGCTGTTGAGGAGCCCATCGTTGCTTCAATTAGTCTGTCAGTTAGCAACTGATTTATATACCCAATGAGCGCATCATCAACACCCAGACTACTGCACTCGGGAGTATATTGTTGAAGGCCCCTTCAATATCTACAAAAGCAACCATACAAAATTCTTTGAGTTTAATGGATTTTTCTATTCTATAAGTGAGGGAGTGGAGAGCTGTCTCCATAGATTTTCCTTTAGTGTAGGTATGCTGTGAGGGGACCACTGATTGGGGCTTACAGCACGCCTTACTTCTACGTCTATGATTTTTTCAAGGACCTTCAACATGAAAGAAGAAAGGCTTATTGGATGGAGTTCATTGGGGTTATGGTGCGAGGTTTTTCCTGCTTTGGGTATAAAAACAACTCTAACTTTCCTTCATTTAATTAGGATATAGTTACATAAGAAACAATGTCTACAAATTGCCAAAAGCCGGTTGTGTATCAACTTCCAAGAATTCGGAAGCTCAATTGGATGAATACCATCTGGTCCTGGTGATTTATACGGTCTAAAACTAAAAAAAGCCCATTTAACGATCTGCAGGTATACTTTAATAGAGTTAACCGGTGAGAGATCAAGGCACTCTGTGGATGCAGTTATCGAAGTAGAAGATCCCGGAAAGTGAGTATCTAGTAGTAATTGTAATGATTTACTACTATTGTTGCACCATGTCCCGTTAGATTTTTTGAGTAACTCAGGAACAGATGGATTTTTGGATAAGATTTCACGCAGTATAAAGGTTTCAGAATTGCTGTTTATTTCTTGACAGTACGACTGCCAACTATCACTCTTGGACCTACGTAAATTTTTCTTATATTCTTGCAGAGAGGTTTTGTAATTCAGCCAATCACTCTCATTATTATATAATTTTGCTCTGTTGAAGAGTCTCCTACACTCCTTTCGTAAAAGACCTAGATGTTTATTCCACCAAGGTGGGTTACATTTTCTACTAGGTTGTGTGAGGGGACAAGCATAACTGAAAGCTTCATTGAGCACTGAGGTGAGATCTTGGACTTGATTGTCTAGATCAAAAGTGTTCCTCGGGGGATCGGAGGAAGTGGTTAAAAGCAGCTCACTTAGAGCTGCATTATAATTCATCCGGTTTGTATTTTTAACATTTCTAAACGTTATTTGATTGTAGATGTTCGATTCATCCAAGGTTAAGGTGAATTCTAGAATCATGTGGTCTGAGAACGAGTGTTGAGTGGACACTTTCCAGTTCTTGACCGATTCGTGAAGCCTAGTAGTAGCAAGAGTGACATCTAACACTTCCTGGCTGTTGTTAGTAATAAAAGTTGGCATATTGCCATTATTGCAGATGAAAAGATTGTTACTAAATATAAAATCAAAAAGTAACTCACCTCTTTCATTAGTGTTTGAGCTACCCCAAACCTCAAGATGAGCGTTGGCATCGCAACCTATTAGAAGCTCTACTCCGAGTCTCCTGGCGTTGCTTGTTAGCTATATCAGAATATTCGATGGTAGTGTGGCGTGGTCATATATGCCAGATATGCAGATACTGCCCATGTTTGGCCCCAGGAGCCCCCGATACTTATTGCGGTTTGGTCACCATCACTATATTGCGAAAGTAAGAGAGCATTAAATTTATTAGTAACCAATATGCGGGACCTGGGCTTACCCTTATTTACCGCATAAAATTGGTTGTGGTTTTTAGCCCTGATTCCGCATACAAGATCCTTATAAATCCATGGTTCTTGTATCAGGACCATATCAGCCTCGTTGTTGCTGAGCGTTGTAGTAGACTGGCGGATGTAGCCTTGCTATGATGCAGGTTAATTTGCTCTACCCGCTTCTTCAGCATGTGTGGATCCATTTCTCTCCACCACAGTGACGTCAAGAGCACTATCCTCCTCAGAGTGATTACTCAGTTCGTCTTCATCGAAAAGATAGCGCATGCCTATGCTCTCCTCTGATGTAAATGCGTGAGCTGGCGAATTGCTCCTCATCTTTTTTGTAAACCCTTATAGTTATGGGTAATATGTATTTGAGCAACATAAAAGACCGTTGTTGTCTACGGTTTGAAACAGACTTAATTTATTATATATTATACATTATACAGAATAGTGTTCTTATGTCTATCTTAATTCTACACTAAGAGAAAGAGATTGAGTGGGAGAGATTACTTACATACATATTATCTCCTAAACACTTTTATTTACAACAATCTATAAGTCTTCCATTATAGCCTATGTAGTTTAAATTACTTTTAATTTAATGAATTTAATTTAAAATTTAGTTTTAATTTTAATTAATTTTCAAAATAATTTTAATCATTTCTTTTCTATATTCAAATAATTAGAATTATAATTTAGTTTTAATTTTAATTATTTTTTAAAATAATTTTAATAATTTCTTTTCCATATTCAAATAATTATCTAATTTCAAAAACTTCTTTTTTATATTCAAATAATTAAATTCAAATTTTAAACTATTAATTAATTAATTTCCTTCAGTTGTAGTTTGCTCGTCTTCCTTTATTACGTCGCTCAGAACGTCTCAACCCCAGTCGTTCATTCACAGTATCCACACCTTGCTGTATGTCATAGTCGTTAGCGAACGGTTTTGCTGTATCAACAACCTCAGTATTTGAAACTTCTTTATAAGTTAGGTCTTCATTTACATACGTATGGACCCTAGGATTAAAAGTTACAGTTTTTCCATTATTTTTTTATTTGGTTGATATGCGCAACCCTGAATACACCATTTATGGATATTAAATATCTAATTCGACTTAGTTTTTTAACCACCTTTGCATGAACCCATTTAATATAATTATTTGCAATATTTTTGTACAATACCGTTTCATTGGGTTTGAAGTTTATGAGTTTACTATAATTCAGCTTTCCATTTTCAAACTTACTCAATGCTTTATCTTTTCCTCCATTTTGAAACTTACCAATTTCCAATTTATTTGTATTTTATTTTTCCCTAAAATTTTTCTTGATTTTTGGATTTATATTATCTAACCGAGTTTTTGGTTTAAATTTAAAAATTATATCTGCTGGTGACATCCTTGTTGTCGTTGTTGGAGTAGTACGATAGCTCAAAAGAAAATTATTTATTTTAAAATCCCAAGACTTACATTTAATTTTAGGATCCAACAAATACTTTCTTAATGCGCTTTTTACAGTTTGTACTCCTCTTTCCGCAGTGCCATTCGATTGCGGATGATATGATGGCGATTTTAAACATTCTATATTATTATTAATGCAAAATTCTATAAACTCCTTTGAACTAAATGGTGGACCATTGTCCATCACAATTGTCTTCGGAAGCCCGAAAATAGCAAAAGTAGATCTTAACGCTTCTATGACTGTAATAGCGTCAGTTTTGCGCAAAATTTTAGCTTCAAGCCATTTCGAATAAGTGTCAACAATTACTAAAATATTCAAATTTTGAAATTTACAAAAATCAGCGTGAATACGCTCAAACGGAGCACTTGTTACTTCCCAGTTGGTAAAAATTTGTTTCGACGGTTTTTGATTCATACAACATGCTTGACATGACCCGACGAACTCTTCAATTGCAGCATCTATGCCCGGCCACCAAACATATGTCCTAGCAACAGCTTTCATGCGGACGATTCCGATATGACCACTATGTAACAGTTCTAATGTTTTCGGTCTCAATGACTCTGGAATTACAATCCTTTCACCATAAAAAACACACTTATCTTCAGTTGCTAACGATATTCGAATTTTAAAGTATTTTTTTAAATTATTATCAATTTTTTCTGGCCACCCATTCTTAACATATTTGTACGTTTTTAATAGTGCCACATCTTTCGACATTTCATTTTTGATGTCGTCAATCTTAATTGGAAGGTCGCCTATAAGGTTAAAAATATTAATACTATCGTCATCTTCATTTGTATCTTCTTGCAAAGGTAAACGAGACAGCGCGTCCGCATGTCCCATTTGCGATCCCTTCTTGTACTTAATTGAGTAATCATACATTGATAAAAAAACAGCATATCGCTGTAACCGGTTCGCTGCTACCGATGGCAGATCTTTTTTTATTGAAAAAATTTCCCGCAATGGCTGATGGTCACTTTCAATGGTAAACGGTAACCCAAAAATATAATTGTGAAATTTCTTCACTGCAAAAACTATCGCTAAAGCCTCGCGATGAAGTTGAGAGTAATTCTTTTCAGCCGGAGACAACGTACTAGATACGAATTGAACTGGACGTTCTTCACCGTCAATAATATGTGACAGAACGCCTCCCAAGCCATAAGGACTTGCATCGCACGAAATAATTATTGGTTTTTGTGGATCATAATGTGTTAAAACGCCAATATTCGCAATAAGTTGTTTTGATTTTTCGAATATATTTTGATGTTTTTCATTCCATATCCACTTCTGCCGATAAATTAGGTATTGAATGATTATAATAATTAACCATACCCAAATACGATTTTAGTTCTGATTTATTTGTAGGCGCCGGGGCATCTAAAACTGCTTTGACTTTTTCTCTTGATGGCAATATTCCATTTTGATTAATTACGTAACCTAAATACGTTAATTCCTTTTTAAAAAATTGGCATTTTTCATAATTAATTTTTACGTTTGCCTCTAATAGTCTGTCTAAAGTTGCTTTTAAATTTTCTTCACATTCTTTCATGTTTGCTCCCCCAATTAGAAGATCATCGAAATATGAATGCACTTTATTCAATCCCTTTAAAATTTCACTTATAATTTTTGAAAAAATTTGTGGTGCCGTTTTTAACCCATACACCATTCTAGTGTACCTATATAATCCAACATGTGTATTCACAGTTAAAAATTCTTGTGATCTTTCGGACACCTTGACTTGCAAATATGCTCCCGTCAAGTCTATTTTACAAAAGTATTTCCACCCAGAGAAATTTGCCAAAATGTCGTCAATTCGCGGAATAACGTGATGCTCATTTTCTACAAATCGATTAATTGTTCTTCTGCAGTTCACACATAATCTTATGCTACCATCACCTTTATTTACTACAACTATGGGACTCGCCCATTTACTTCTGGTTGTTAGCACCATAACCCCTTCAGCACATAATCTCTGGATTTCCTCCTCTACTTTTTGTCGTACGCCAAACGGAACTG